TATATATATATATATATATTGAATAAAAATATAGATTATTCAAAACAGTTAAATTGGTTAAAAATTGATTTTAACCAATTCGAATTCGAGATCTATTAAATTTTATTGTTCATAGAATAGATAAAAACAAAAAGAAAGAAATGAAATATATATATTCAAATTAACATCATTAGTATAGCACTTTACTACTTTCTCCTTTAAATCTAATGTGCGTAATACGGTTTATGTTTAGTAGAATTAACAAGCCCAGAAATTATTTATTTATCAATAATATTCATTCTGACTTTACGATGATCTAAACGACCAAAGAGCTTTCTCCTCTAAAATTGTTTTCTTTCAACACATTGCATTAATGATATATGATTATTTTCTGTAACTAAAAGAGGATAAAATCTATATTATTTTATTTTATAGAAATTATTTACCATTTTATATTTGTATATACAAAATATCGCTTTCTATAATGCAAAACTTATATAATTTTCAATACGTTGTGTGTTTAATTTCATATTCCATTTATACGAATGATCAACCAATTTTATTATTTCGGATTTAGAAAAAAAAAATCACGAATTACATGTATAAATAACAAAATTTTAGTTTTGTAGTTTCTTCATCTTGTGATAATTTATTCATCAAAAAATTTTCAAATAAAAAATTCAAGTTTTCTAATAAAAAAAAAGCGACAAATCAAGATATTAGAATATTATATATATTATATATAAAAAATTTTCTAATAAATAATCAAGTCAAGAATATCAAAATATTATTGAAATATTATTAAAATATTCTAATTCTGTTCAAAAGATATATTCTAAGTCATATTAGTATTTTCATATCCATAGTGTTGTAATAGAACATTCAATGCTTTTTTTATAGGCATTGATATTTTTTCCATCCAATATTATTATCTTTTTATATCTTCTTTTTCTATCTCTTAAAATTGAAAAAGGATATTCAAATGAAATTTTAAATACAAAAAAAAACGCAATACATATTATATCTCTAATAACTACGTTTAAAAAATGAAAAGTAATAGTATTAACAATTGTCATTTTTAATTTATAAAAAATATAATATATAATATGAACAATATTATAAATTGATTACTATCTTTTTATCTTTTTTTTTAGCATTTTTTTCACAAAATATATTATTTTCAAATTCATAACTTTTACTTATTGAATATATAATAATCAATTTTTTTTAATTTTAATAAAAAAAAAGATACAACTATAATATAAATTTATAGTATCAACATTCTTTAATACTAGAATTATAAAATTGATCAAATTGACTGGTTTCAAATTAATTTTTACTTAAATAGAGATATGATTAAATGTAATCATTTATTTTTATAATACCACTTTAAGTCTAATAATCTATATACACATTTGTAATATATTTGTGCATATATACATACATATATTATAAATATTTCAATAAATAATTTCTAAAAACAAAAATATTTCTAATGATAAAATTTCTATGAGTTTTTCTATAAAAGTAAATAATATTCTCAATTAAAACAAAATTATAATTTATAATAATGAATATCAATTTTATTTTATATTAATTCTTTTTTTAGTATCCTAATTTATAAATTTATAATTTTTAAATTAATATTCTTGTTAAAATGAATAACGCAAAAAAATTTAACGATTATTGGAATAGGGAAAAGCGACCGCCTTTTGAGCTCAGGATGTTCCAGTCAACCTCACGACGCAACGAAACGGCTTTTCCACGCCTAGAGATATATCCAGGCGCATTAGTGACATAATTTTCTCGGTGTATTTCTGTAACGTGCCAGAGAAACGGACAGAGGAGATAGGGGAAGGCAAGTGAGAGTCTGGCGACGCCGGTCGTCTGGGTCTCTCTCGCTTAGGCGAGTTTATCGACATTGCATTTCCGCGTTTTCGTTGCACAACACCTGTTCACTGTCCATATAATCTCATCCCAATAATCATCTCGAAAGTCTGTGACATCGCACAAATAAATCGACATTGGAATGTCTTTATCTTTGGTCTTCCATCGTATTTTAATTAGAATATTGTCACATTCGAATCATTATTTTATATTTTGATTGCTTTCTCCAAAAGATGAAATAGAGATTATTTTAAAAATATTTGATGGCTGAAAGAAGAAAATATTAAGTATTATAGTATATTTTTCTTATATAAAAAAAAATTGTAACATTTGAATCTTGTTAAAGTCTATCAATTTTAAATCTTTCAGAAAATTAGTAAATTTAAAATAAATTTTTAAAGCATATTTTTACGTAAGAAAAGATTAATTTTAAGTAAGATTTAATTTAAGTTAACCTTTCGTTATATTGTAATTGAATCTATAATGAATATTATCTACATTAAATTGTTTTAGGTTATGTTGGATCGACAAGATGAATTAAGTTAAAATTATAAAATTTCACATTTTATTTTATATTATATTTAGTTTTTAATATGTAAAATTAATAAAAATTCCAGATGGATATCTATTTAGAAATTTAGAAATTTAAATTCCAGGGAACTGAAACTTCGCGTGTTAGTTTTTTTTTTATCATAACCTACAAAATTACAAAGATATTCGAAAGATTTCAGATTTTAAGAATTAAATTTCAGGAAAAATTATATATCATTTTTTTGTCAGAATAAAAAATTAAAAAATCTGGCAACAAAAATTTCTGTTCAAATTTATGATTTTATAACAATTTAATAATTGAATATTCAAACAGTGAATATTCAAACAAGACACTCTAAATAAAGATATACATCTTATTATTCGAATAAAAATGAGAATCGCCACCCAGTAAATGGTACCATGCGTGAGACCAGCCGAAGATATTCCTGAAGCAACCATATATCTTTGGAATTGCGTAACGTGTGCCTAGTGTACCGTGTGGAAAGAGAGAAAAAGGCGGAACGAGAGAAACGACAGTTAATAAGAGAGACCGCGTGAGACAGAGAGGGAGAAAGTGGGAATCGGTAATGTGGAGAGGAGAAAGAAAACGAGATACCCAATGTCTCTCCTCCATTGCAGCATAGAGATCGTCTGTAGAAAGTGCATCGGGAAAGCGAAAGAGATGCATAAATGTGACCATAAATTATGACTCGCGCCTGTGTACGCTTATGGAATCTGTCTCGGGTATCCCTTTGGCTTAGTGAAGATTAGCTATGTCCTTTAATGTTTTGTTTCTTATTAGAGAAAAGTGATTATAAAAATAAAACCTTATGCCAATAGGATATTCTTTCATTTCTAATAATAACTTAATTTATTTTACTCGTTAAAAAAATAATAATTTTATTATTATTGGAAATTGTTAAAATTAAATGATATTAAATATTTTTAATATAAATATAAAAGTTTGATAAAAATTGAGCCTTAAGATTTGAAAATATCGGTAGTATAATGTTGAAAGGTATACCGTGGAGAGACCAAAGTTTGAAGTAAAGTACGAGATCCAAGAGAGGATTTGTTCCCGCGAGGAAGAGGAACCAATTCAGGGATTGAGAAAGTTGAGAAGCTGATGGATGAAACAGGAGAATGATAGGAATCGTGTTGTTGGAATCTTGTTTTGAATTCGGTTGCTTTGACGTACTAGCCAAGAGTTTAGAACTATTTTCCCAGTTGTCTATATCAAATTCAACGTCAATAATATAATTAAATAAAAGATGAACTTTAAACTTTAAATTGCTCTTTTCACTTTATGAATCTTATAAATCTTAACTGTCGTTTCTTAATTTTAACTTAATTCATCTTGTCGAATATCCAACATAACCTAAAACAATTTAATATAGATAATATTTATCATAGATCCAATATTACAATATAACGAAAGGTTAACTTAAATTAAATCTTACTTAAAATATTAATCCTTTTTTATGCAAAGAAAACCACTATTGTTCCTTTTAAACGTTGTTTTATTTCCTTTTAATTCATTGTGTCGAAGATTTAATATAGTTAGTTTAAAAATAGTAATTTAGACAATAGAATTTATCATAGATCCACTACTATAACATAACAAAAGATTAATTTAAATTGAATCGTATTCGAAAAATTAATTCTTTTATTTTACACAAAACGATTATCGTTCCTTTTAATTGATTGCGTCGAAGATCCAACATAACCTAAAACATAGCAACTTACCGTAAACGATAAAATTTATCACATGTCAAGTATATACTGCAATGTAAAAGAGAAGCGATGGAGAATGTCAGGTGAAGAAACAGCCGGCGCCATGAAACCGCATCGTCGAATCGGGTTGGAATAATCAAATTAGCAGGCGAGTAGCAACAGACTACAGAGTTGAGCTGACAATAGCGGAAACTCGTTCGAGTTGCATCGCAGTGTTTGAGAGTTCTCGCAGGATAGTAGAGGACGCGACGGTTGTACGGAGAAGTTTGGAACGCGGCCTCGACCCGAGTCGGAGAGCCACTTCACGGCATTTAGCAGCCCTTGTTTACAAGGAAGCGGCGCGCATCGCATATATTTACTCGGGTCACAGCATTCGTATTCCAGCCGACTGTGTTCGTCCGTTCGTACTCCGCCATGCAGAAGTGCAGTGTGCGAGTGTGCCTCTAGTGCCGATACGTGCTGGTATTTCCAACAGGCAACCGATTCCAGGGCCGGCCCTCGGTTTATTGTCGAGTTGTGTTCGTTGAAAATTGTCACTCTTTAACAAATAGCTTCGTTTATGATTTTGAGAGATTTTTTTCTGTCTTGTGAGGAAGTTTTGATTGGTTGATTATTGAAAAGAAAATGTTGATAATATTGTTGAAAGTATTAATCGGAAATATTTAGGTTAGGTTAATATTTGAAGACATTGCTAAGTTGAAAAGCTTATTTTCATGCTTTTATTTTTATATATCTCTTAAATTCTAGAAATATTATCTTTTAATTATGTTATAAATAATTATTTATTTTTTTATTTTTTCATTTATTAATTTTTATTTCAATATGCTTTTTTTTCAAACTTCCAAAAGAAATTGTTGTACATCTGTATAACACTTAAATCTCAAATTTATAGTAATTATAATAAAAAAAAAAAATACAAGTAAAACTTTGGATAATTGTTGATATAAAAATTAAAATAAATTATATTATTTATTATCTATTATTATCTATTATTTGGAATAATATTTTATCCAATACTTTTCCAATTAACATTTCTTAACGAAATTAATCTATATTATTTTATATGTTACGTATTCTGCATCATCATTATATTTAAGTTAAAAGATATTCTCATCATACTGTACAATATTCTAATCTTGTTAATTAAAAATATCCTTAAAAACAGTTATTACCATAATTTTTCGTTAATATTTGGGTCCAATCCTTTTCTATTGATTGATATTGATGGTATTGATATTTTTATTTTTTCAAAGGATATTGTGAAATATTTTTAATTATTCAAATGGTTGATTTTATATAGATAGTATAACACAAAAAAATTATAGTTATATTAATAATTTTTAATATTTTTCATTTTTTTATGTTTTTTCATTAAAATTTAATAAATGAATTTTAATAACATTTATATATAATAATTTAAAATTTCCAATATTCACTTTTTAAATAAAATTTAAAGATACGAATGAATATATATATATATATATAATAACAACGTTTATTTTTTGAGTCAAGATAAATCTTCATAATGAATTTGTAATGGAATAAACTTGAATACAAGAGATCTTATTAGACAAATTTATCAGAGACAGTATCTGAAAATAAAATTTATTACAATTCAGAAACTAGGTTAAGCACTTGAATATTGGAATTCATTGTTGAAGCAAATTCCAACGAAAGCGTAATACTTTGAATATCTAATTAAGTAATAAATAAAGAATTTAAATTATGTGCAAAGGTAGATAGCCTGAAAATTTCTTAATTAAATTATATAAAAAAAAGAAAAATAAATAAATAATTTCAAAAATTGAACAATATATTTTGGAATTTTAGGTTAGGTTTGGAAATAATAGGTTGATATATTTTGAAATTATGATATTCTTATTTATTTCGAAATTATTATTTTTAAAATTAAATAACAAATATTGATTTAATAAATTTTTATATATATATTTTTTTGCGTAATCGAAATAATGTTAACAATGAAATTTTACAAATCATAAATTAAATATAATACTAACAATTATTAATTTTAACGAATTAATTTTTTTATCTACATCAATTGAAAAATTTGCATATATTACAGTAAAACCAAATTAATAAAAATTAAAAACGAAATAATCAAAGTTTTTAAAAATTAGTCATAAACAAAAAAATATTAGTAATAATAAAGATAAAAACAAATCAATTAAAAGAATTTTTATCCTTATAATTGTACTTCACAATTTTATTTAACCATTCAAGTAAAAGTGGTGACAAATCGAAAACGCGATTCGCGTTAATTAAATCTCAATTAAAAATATTAACCATATAGCAACGATTATTCTTCGGGATATTATTCACGAGTGAAAATTGAAATTAATTAAGCAGTGTTCCTCGAGGATCGCCTCTTCTCTCAATAAATCCGCGAACTTAACGATACGCTCGTTGATTTCGCGTATTCACCCATCCCACGACCCAATTCTTTTCCACCGTTATCCGAATATAAATCAGGTCGTGTGTGTCAAGAGATCGATAACGTATACGATATACGTACATATAATGCGCGATGATTAATCTGGTGAGAACAACGACCGATAAACATGAAATGCGAAATCATGTGGATGAACGAATAATAATAACAGTGAGGACGGAAATGTATCGTGATAATTTAAAATCTTTATTCGGTGAATTGTCTATATATAAATATTCTATACGGGAATAAAAATATCATCGAATATTCATTACTTTTTTTTTCATTATTTGAAATTGGATATCTTCTGACATATTATGATGGAAACTTTTTTGATTTATTTTTGTCTTTGTATTTTAACATAGTTAGATGTGTATATTTTACTATCATCGTATTATCTATTAAAGATAATTAAAACAGTGTTAAATTTTGGAAAATTAATGTCTATTTCAGTTAAAATAAATATGATTTGATATTTGGCGAATAAAAATATATATTAATAATAAATATATTAAATAAAATTTAAATAAAATTTGGTAAATATATCCAGTGATTTATATCTTTTAATTTTTTAATTTGTATGTGATTAAAATTCAATTGTAGCTGTTATTAAAATTTATTATTTGTGCAATTATTCATTATATAATTATAATTTAATAATTGATAACTATTATAGATTGATAATCGTATTGAATATTATTGAAAATATATTAATAAGTATCTAAAGCAAGATATTTTTCTTAACTTTAATTAGAGATTCTCATAATATCAAAATTGGTGTTATAGTGACCTTAATCTCAAAATCATTAATTTAATTTAATTAATTTTAATTTAATTAATTATATTCTACTCCTTTTTTAGGATTGGGACTCAAATTAACTCATTAAAGTCAAAGGAGATCTTAAAACAAAAAAAAATGCTGAAGATAATTTTATAGTCACAAAAATATTCAGATTATACAATCACTAAAATCCTAAAAGAGAAAATTCTGAGAACAAAGAAGCTCTAACACAAATAAAACCCAAATTAACTTTAATGTTAGATTTTAATTCATTAACCTTAAGCATAATTCTGGGCCTACAGGGACATTGACACTATTTGATCTCTAATCTGAGGATTAAGGTTGATATCTCAGTGACTCTGGGACCAAGAGAATCCTGAGCCTAGGGGACTCTGGAGATAAATGATCCAGATGATCGTATCAACTATGATCAAGAAAATATAAGTTTTTATTCTAACGTAATGATTATCATAATATCAAATAAAATAAAGAATTTTTAATTTATAATTATGTAATCTAATTACTAATTATAATTAATTTACAATAATTATATTATCATAAAAGATTGCTTATTAAATTATCTTAATATATTGATTCAAAATAAAAATCTAGGAATATTTTTTTAATGTAAAAATGGATTTTCAATATTTTTTTACATCTAGAAAATTTATATGAACATTATGGCTATTATTGTCAGATAGTTTTGTCTGTTTATTACTCTCAATAATTTAACAACACATTGTAAACTTGAAATTTATGAAGCATAAGTGACAAATATAAGAAGTTATTCGTTTTTTGTTCATATCTGATTCGAATTCCATAAATTCTCTAATATATCTGATCCTATCAGCTGATAGCTATCTATTTCACAAATTTTATAGGTCCATATTTGTTACGAGTCTATAAATATATGATATAATGTATGACAATACGAATAAAGAAAATTTTAGAGTCTTATAAAAATTTTTGAATTATAGAGATTCAAGTTATATAAGTTCGATATTATTATATTTTCTGTGACAATAGGAATGCACTATTTCTGTTGCGCGTAATTACATATACCGTTAAACATACAAGTATAAGGTGTCGTGATTGTATTGATCGTAATTACCTGTACCGTTAAATATAAACACGCGACTGAATGATATCTACCATTGGTTCGTTTCCTTTCACGTTGTAATTCGAAAGACATGACTAATCTAACGCACCTATTACAACGATATTTCTTGTGTCTTTATCGAGTATCATTTAGTTTCACGTTTCTTCAATTATGACATTATATCGAGTAATTGGATAGCCTGAAATCGAATTTTGAAATCGAATCTTTATCCATGAACGATAATTTTTCACGTTAAAGTTAATGATTTTCATTCACTTTCTAATTCCTCTTCTAATATGTACTTTCTTCTCTATATTATTTTCATGCACATATGTTCGTATTCGTACTTATAAATTCATAATTGCGTTTCAATCATCTTAATACATTTAAGTTTGAATTTGATTGATTACATATCATCAATCAATATTCTGAATTGAAGGAAAAATTATGGCATAAGTTACATATGTCAAACATAGCACCTGATATTTGATAAAATTTATAGCAAAAATATCAGAATGATCAGAGATTAATCATAAAATTTTACAGCAAAAAAACATCCTCTATCCCTAAAATAAAACAAAATTTTATCAAGATTATCAAAAATCAAAATAACAAAAATAAAATAAAACTTACCCCTTTTATTAATTCCTAAATTTTCATCTTTCTTAAAAGATTCTCTATCCCTAAAATAAAACAAAATCTTATTATCATTATCAAAAATCAAAATAACAAAAATAAAATAAAACTTACCCCTTTCATTAATTCCTGAATTTTCACCTTTCTTAAAAGATAATATGGAAGACACTTTCTAAAGAAAGTTATATCTCGGAAATCATCGGCATCATCGTTCCTCTTCACCCTGCAATGACCTCTACGATATTTAAAAAAAAAAAGTGCACAACTTTCCTGTTCGACGAGGTCGAAGGATGGTCGTGATCGAGCAAAATGGTCGCCTCGATTCAGAGCAACTTTCGACCATCTTATCCGCTCACGAATCCGCAATGGGCTCCCATTATTTAATCAACGAAACGTCTCGTTAGCGATCTAGGTCACACACGAGCACATTTCCCGTGTCTTCCACGGGTCGAACGTAAATCTGGAACCGGTGCACCGGCGAGTCTCTCCTCCTTGGACTCGCCAAACTCTC